TTAACCTTTTGACCTTTCGATCTATAATTGCTTCCGACTCTTACATAAAGCTCAATTTATCATATATTTGCACATCTTGCAATGGTATTACCATATCCACCTCCGCCAAGCATTTTCTTAAATTTGAAATGTGAAACGTATTGTGAATACCCTATTAATTATTAGGTAGATCCAATTTATACGCCACCTCCCAACACGTTCAATGATCGTGAATGGTCCTATATAGCGTGGACTCAACTTTCCTTTCTTACCAAAACGCATCACTCCCTTTCATGGAGATATTTTTAGCACCACATTATCACCAACTTGAAAATCCATCGCTTTATGCTTTCTATTTGAGTAACTCTTTATCTATCTTGAGCTACTTTCAGTCTCTCCCGAATTTGAACAATTTTATCCACAGTTATTTGCACAATTTTAGGCCTTGTCAGTTGCTTTTCCCCGACTTCATTTCAGCACAATAACGTTCTACACTTTCTATCGTATAACACTTCATAAAGAGCTACTTGAATACTTGCATGATAGTTGTTGCACACAAACTCAATCAATGGTAGATGAATTTCCCATGAACCACTTAAATTTAATACACAAGCTCTTAACAATCTTCCAAAGTTTGAAGAGTTCGCTCGCTCTGCCCATTTGTTTGAGGGTGATTGGCGGTGCTCAACTTAATTTGTGGCCCCATTTCTTTTTGGGAGCTCTTCTAGAACGAAAAGGTAAATCGACCATCCCGGTCCAACATTATCGACAATGGTATACTGTGTCTAGTTACCAATTATCTATATAAAAAATTGCTAACCTCTCCATCGACTAAAAAATTTAGTGAGTCGTTCCACAATCACCCAAATCGCATCGAAACCTTTCGATGGTCTAGGTAACTTTGTCACAAAATCTATGGTGTTACGATCCCACCTCTAAACCACGATATCCAATGATTGAAGTTTTCCATACGGTCGTTGATGTTCCATCTTCACTTGTGAACATGTTAGACATCTTTCAACAAAGTACACAACATCCTTCTTCATCCTTGGCTACCAATAATACCGACGAAGATCTTTATACATCTTGTTAGTATTGTGATGCAATGGAATGTTGTGATTTATGCGCCTCTTCTAATACTTTCTTTTGAATCTCACCCAATCTAGGAACCTAGAATCGGCAGTTAAAACATTTCAATCCATAAGTATCCTCTGCTAACAAAGATATTAGTCCCACCACTCTTTCTCCCTTAGGGTTTTCGATAGACATCGCTTCCTCTTGTAACTTCTTAATTTCCTCAAGCAAATTAAATGTTACCTTGGCTCTCATGGCTATGATCTGTGAATCTTTGCCTCTTTCCTTTCGGCTCAAGGCATCAGCTACAACATCAAATTTTATAGGATGATACTCCATTTCATAATCGTAATCCATCAAGAGCTCAATCCATCTTCATTGCTATTAATCTCTTTATGATCAAACAAGTGACGTTGACTCTTGTGATCGGTGAAGATTTAATCCTTAGTCCCATATAGGTAATGCCTCTAAATCTTCAAGGCATAAACAACTGTAGCTAATTCAAGATCGTAAGTGGCGTAACGTCTTTCATGGTCTTTCAACTGGAGAGATGCATACGTAATCACTTTTCCACGTTGCATTAAAATGCACCCTGAATCCCAACTTATATGTGTCACTATACACAACGAAAAACCATTGTAACATCAAACAGAGCTGAAATTGCTACATAACTTCTCTTTCAATTTCAAAAATGTTTTCTTTTTGATCCACTATCCAGTCAAACTTAAAGTTTTTCTTCATCAATGATGTTACAGGGGTGGCTATCCAAAAGAAGTCCTTGATGAACTTGTGGTAATAACCTTCTAATCCAAGAAAACTTCTATTGAAGGAGTTCTAGGCAACTCCCAATTCTTGATAGCTTCTATCTTTACAGGGTTGACTTTAATTCCATCCCTAGACACCATGTAAAAATTGAACCTACCAAAGCCAAAATTCAAACTCAGCATAAAGTTTCTCTTATTTTAGCCCTTCTAACACCACATGAAGATGACTTCCGTGCTCACCCTCCGATCGAGAATAAATTAAGATATCATCAATAAACACGATTACAAACATATCCAAATACGGTTGACATGTCTTGCTCATCATATTCATGAATATTGTAGGGGCATTGGTAAGATCGAATGACATTACCAAAAATTCATAATGTTTGTATCAAGTGCAGAAAGCAATTTATCCTCTTCTCTCAACTCGAGTTAATGATAACCCAATCGCAAATCAATTTTCAAAAAATAGCTTGGCCCCTACAACTGACCAAACAAATCATCTATCCTCGAAAACGGGTATTTATTCTTGATCGTGACTTTATTGAGTTCACAATACTATATGCACATCCATATAGACTCGTCATTCCGTTTGACAAGTAACACCGGTGCTCCCAAGGTGACGTACGGGGTGGGATAAAACCCTTATCCAATAACTCTTGGAAGTTTGTTGAACCTAAAAAATTTCATGAAGCTTGTACTAATATTAATTGGATAAATGCTATGAATGAAGAAATGGAAGATTTACATAGAAATAATACATGGATTATGACACACTTGCCTCAAGGTAGAAATCTTATAGGCTGCAAATGGGTCTATAAAATAAAGTACAAATCTAGTGGCGAAATAGAAAGATACAAAGCTAGGCTTGTAGCTAAAGGGTATAGGCAGAGAGAAGTCTTGACTATGATGAAACTTTCTCCTCTGTTGTAAAAATGGTAACTGTTTGTTGCATTATATCTTTAGTTGTTCAAAATAAGTGGAGCTTGTATCAATCAGATGTTAATAATGCTTTTTATATGGTGATTTAAATGAAGAAGTTTACATGAGCTTACCTGAAGGTTACTATAATGCAAATGATAAACATGTTTGTGAACTTGTTAAGTCCCTATACGGGCTAAAGCAAGCTCCACGTCAGTGGTATGCTAAACTTTCATCTTGTTTAATTGAACACGGTTTCGTCCAAAGTATTAATGATTATTCTTTGTTACAAAGAAATCTGAATCTATTTTTCTTGTCTTGTTAGTTTATGTTGATGATATTGTCATTATTGGAAATGATCCATCTGAAATTGATAAGGTTAAAGTTTTCTTAAAAAGCAAATTTCTTATAAAAGATTTGGGAAAGTTGAAATTCTTTCTAGGCATTGAAATTCTAGACTGTGAATGAAATTTGTATGACTCAAATGAAGTATTGTTTAGAGTTGCTAAAGGAATATGGAAATTTAAGGTGCAAACCGTGTAATACTCCAATGGATAGGAATTTAGTTATATCTGATTCTAATAATAACAAAGATTCTCCTTTGTCTGATTATATTGGTTATCAAAAACTGATTGGTAAGTTGATCTATCTTCTTGCTACTAGACCATATATTGCTTTTGTTATTCATTGTTTGAGTCAATTTATGCATTCACCTAAACAGTCTCATTTAAGTCTTGCTCTTAGAGTTCTCAGGTACTTAACTGCCTTTGTCGATGCCGATTGGGGTAACTGCCTCTCTTCTAGACGTTCAGTAACTGGGTTTTGTCTGTTTTTGGGGAATTCTATGATTTCTTTGGAAGAACAAGTTAACAAAGTACCGTTTCTCGTTCTTCTACGAAGTCAAAATATAGAGTTGTGGCCTCTGTTGCTTGTGAGGTCCTATGCGTTCTAAAATTTATTAAAGATTTAAATATTTTAGATTTATTGTCTGTTCCTGTATTTTGTGATAATAAATTTGCCATTCAGATTGCAAATAAACCAGTTTTTCATGAGCATACTAAACACATTGAAATAGATGTGCATCAAATTAGAGAAAAACACCAATAAAGGATTGTTAAAAATTGTAAAAAATTTGTATTCTGAACAACCTGCCGATATCTTTACAAAGGCTCTTGGTATATATCATCATAATTACTTATGTTCTAATTTGCGAATAATTGATTTATTTAAAAGTAAAGACTGAGGGAGGGTGTTACAATATAGTTCTATTACAATCTTAACTTTTGTTAATCTTTTTTCTGTTTTAAGGGACTAAATCTGTCAAAAGCATAAAGTTGGATTCATCAAGTATGAGGACTGCGCCTCACTTATCGGAAAACATAAAGGGTAGCGGAGCAAGTTTCCAGAATCTTGAAGGACTAATTCTGCCATTTCTCAATTCATATATAAGGAGCTTCTTCACCTATTTTTGATAATTCCAGCTCATTTTTCATTTCAAAGTTGTTATTCTTCTTTCTAGATCTTCCTTCTCTAAGCTACTTTAGCTTTATATCTTTGTATAGTTCTAGAGTTTGTATGTTTTGTATTTGTAATATTGTTGTTAATAAGAAATGAATGTATCGATTATTGATTTGTACACATAATTCAATCTTGGTGATAAAATCTTGCTTAATTAAATGATGTGTTTATGATTATGGCCATTCATTTGTTCTTTATATGCTATTAAAAAGAAGGATGAGATTCAAGGGTTGTTTGGCAATTGATGTGGTTTGGTACAGAATGATTAAGTGGTTAGAATGATTAAGTGACTCTCATGATATAGTGCAAAATGAATATAATTATTTGGTAATTGTGTACAATGAAATTATGGCTCTTAATGGTTAAGGAAGATCTAAGATACAAAATTATTCAAAGGGTTTTAAAACTATTAAGAGACAAAAAAAGTTTTTACCAAACAAAATTCATCTCTTAATGATTCATAAGTTGTCTGTTAATAAAACTATTAAGAAGTAAATAAACAATACGAGAGTTTGTAAAAACCAAAAACATTTAGTTAAAAAAAACTATAGCCTATTGGATTTTGTTTTATTTGTCATTAAAAAAAGTTCAATTTTATTAATTTTCTATTTTTAATTTACAAGAAAAAGTCTTTGCAAAGATTAGATACATATTTTTAACGACGGTTACCAAACCGTGGTGTGGCTATGATCCCAAATCTTTAGAGCACGTTAATCGCATGGATGATTAACATCCCGTAAAATTGTTTCAAATGTACTTCACTTTGGTGGTGATGAGGTTCACGAAGCAAAAATATTTTATACAACATCCATACGTCATTATATCACTGAAATAATTGATAAACAAAATCACAACTCAACACATTCCAGTTTGCAATTCGAAATTAGAGATTAAGTATCGATTCGTGGTGTTTAAAACCGGGCACACACGAAAAATGAAAAACGAGCAATAAGTAAGGCATCGGCTACTTGAAGAAACGTCAATAGTTGACACGATTGCAGTTGACACGAATTTCACCGTTATCTTGGGATTTAGCATCAAGAATATTCGCAAGCTTCACCATGGAGACACTGAATTGGTTGGAGAAGAGTGAGGACTCGAAAGACAAAGCATCTGCAATGGGTCTCGTCCTTGAATCCACATACAGCAATTGGTCTGTTGACAAGAGCCCCATCTTCTTCTTAAGATTCTGATAGTATTGTGTGTCAAACTTTTTCGGTGTCGTTGCGTCAAGATACACATTCTCGGACGCCCATCGACATTTCCTCCTCAAGTAGTTCAAGTATTGAGGATCGATAGATGGGTCGGGTTTCTTTGTTCCTTTGTAGTCGTATAGCCTGTATTGCACCGACTCACATGTACTCCTTCCTATCGTATGCGCACCTACCAAAAACATCGATCCATCCATCCCATGATCAATGTTAGCATTTACTTGTTTCCTTGAATCTATGTCAATTGATAAATAAAGATATACCTGAGAGGACAACCAAGTCGAGAACGTTGAGTCCCTTGGACTGAAAAAACTGGATAAGGTTGGTAATGGTTTCACGACCCATAGGGACCATCGCAGCTTCGTTGGCAAGGGAAACTCGACCATCCTTCCTTCCAAAAGGGATCATCCAGAAAGGTCCACCGGCTAAAACAGTGGCATCTCTAGCCACGGTGGTCAAGATGTCAGCACATGAGACAGTTTTAGGGCATTTCTTTTCAAGAGCCTTTTTAATGTCATTGATGAGATGGAACCCTCTTAACGACTTGCTTGCATTGGCCGACCTTTCACTTCCATTATGGTCTAAGAGGATGGAGGCATCACATCCCTGCAAATGCAATGCAACAAGAAATGTAAGCTAGTTTTTGTGTGATGGAAGATAAGGATGGAGGGTGATAACGTACCCTGACAGAGCAATCGTGGAAATGTAGCCTAATAAGACTAGCAGCGAGCGTGGGGTCTTTGTTCACCCATTCCTTGACTTTCCTGTAGATGAGGCCTTCGACGTCTGGACAAGTGGTATGATACAAAGAGTATGAAAGATCATCTTGGAAGGAGGAGAGGTGGGACAGGCTTGGTACTTTGAGAGAATGCAACAACGATGGGTTGTTGGAGGCCGAAACCGAGACCAAAAACAAGATTGACAAGACTGAGAGGATAGTAGTCGTAGTCATGGTCATACTCATGGTTGCTCTTTTTTAAAATGCAATCTATGTATTATATATATATATATATATATATATATCACATATGAATTAGTAAGTACGTGAAGAGCACCATCCCTCTTTACTCATCAACGTGCCAACATGAAATCCTTCAATGGTTAATTACCTTGTAGCAAGTTGTTTGTAGATGTTGAATAACCAATATACTCTTTTGTTAATTAACTATAATTATATATATATAGAGAGAGAGAGAGAGGAGCATCTTCTTCTGTTATCCATATAATTTAGTACAAACTTTGTTAATCGGGGTATTTTCGTCTTTTTCATATATTGGTATCACATTTCTTAATTATTTCATTTACTTCCTTAATTATTTTATTCACTTTGGTAATTTTTTTGTAACAACCGACGTTCAAAAACGAAACAACATTATGACCTTTTTAGGAGGAATAAAAATCTCTTTGTGGTCACAGAGGTTCAAATATGGTGACTCCGGGTTATCTGCAAGGCAGGATGTCGTCCTCGGATTAGTCGGCTCGCATAGCGGGTTGGATATCCAGGTTAATTAAAAAAAGTCATTGTTTCACCTATGAACTTTAATTCAAAATCATTGTTTCATTTATGAACTTTTTGGTCTTATCTAGTGAACTTAGGTACAAAAATCAAAATAATCGAAGTTCATAAATGAAACAACATTTATGAACTTTAAACTAACGGCATATAAAAACATGATTACCTTTCAAACATAAAACATGATTATCTTCCAAAAATAAAAATAATTTGTTCCAAAATTACCCTCCTTCTAATTCAATTTAGTTTCATTCACTTTTCACCATTTTATGACCTCCCATTTACTCATCATCATATGATCAAAAAAAAATGAATGACTCAGATGAGTTTTTAAAGTTAATATTATTTACTTGGTTAACAAATAACTATGTATCTTTCTCTCTCCCTCTATATATATATTTATCGTTCATAATTTTTTAAAAGGATAACTTAACACATGGTTTGAGAAAAAATATATACCTAACTTAAGCATGTTTTTGTAAGATATGTCATGGCGGGGGACATGTCTTTTATGCTATGCTAACTCGGTAATTCCCATAGCAACTGTAGCTAGCGTGGCTTCCACTTTGGGGTGTCAATGTGAGCCATGATGTCTGGCACATTACGATGCGAGTTTTTCTAAATGTGATATTTAGCCTTTTAAATTTTAATTTTTACCTTAAAAGTTTGCCTTGTTTTATTTTGTACGTTAAATTATAAGTTTTTGATGTAACACTTTACATAAAGCGCTCTATATATGAAATTAAATTGTTGATTTATATAACTTTTAACATGATTATATAAAATTAATTTAATAGTCTTCTTGTGATATTATACAAGAAAAATAAGAAAAAAGTAACACCATAAATTAATAGAAATTTCATAATGGTATTTACCGCTTTTTTTATTTGTTTTATTTATAAGAAATAAGAGCCCCAAAGTTTGGGCTTTTATATAGTGTTTGTCGTGTTATAAGGCCCAACACGAGTAAAACCCATATTACAAAGGATTAAATGTATGAAATAGTAATTTTTTTTATAATTTTTTTTATTAAAGTATTGTATTTTTATTTTTTTATTATAATAATATTTTTTTAAATTATTTTTTATTAGAACATCATGTTTTAAAAAATATACTTATTATAGAAATGGATAACCTTTTATCTTTTAATCAAGTTAACCTTTTGCTTTTTTTTGTCGATTTTTTAGCTTAAATGAGATGATATGGATGATACATCATTTTAATGACATGACTAAAATAAAAAATCTCTTTCAAATTATTTTTAATTATTTTCACTTTTTATTTCTATGATTAAAAACAATCAATCTTTTTTTAACTTTGTCTTATTAAATTGCATATAAATTAAATATTTTTGGGTAAGATATTTCTTAAATAAATATGATATATTATTTTCGATATAATTATTTTGTTTGTAAAAAAATATAACCTTTTGTATTTTATTTTGTTCAAAAAAATACAT